TCTCTCACTGGGTAAATCATCACAAACATTTGCTTGCAGGAAATGGGGAGGGCTGTGGAGAAAAGATCTCTTCCATAAAGTACTGAACCCAATGATGCTCTTTCCTCTCAGAGACCGAAGATAACCCTCCAGAGTGAGGGGAGTTTTCCTCTCACTTCCACACACGTAAATTAGTCTGAAATTAGCTAATGAGGACGTGTGAGGCAGACCTTGGGATTGCTGACAGCAAACAACCATCAACCAGCATTTATTCTTATTCTTATCCTAGCTGTGGTTGTGAAAGGGAAATTGGGTGGGGGGAGGGAGGCACAAGGCAAAAATAGGTAGGGAAAGACAGCACTAAATATCTGTCAGATGATTAAGCCAGACTCTTTGATTCCATTAGAGGATTAAAATTCCACAAACTCTGGGTCAAACTTTACTTGCAGTAACTCATTCCCTAATCAAAACAGGATAGAAGGATCATATTGGAATTTGGCGATCACAGCCCTTTCTAGACTATCCAAAGGTTAACGATCATCAGGGTTTTAAAACCCAGGATTTATTTTTACGAAATCAAAAGGCACCCCCCCACACACTCTGCCAGGATTTTTCCTCTAAAAAAATAACAATTAGTATGCATAAGTTACATACCAAAGATAAGAACGAGTCCTAAAAAGTGTGTGGTATTCTGAGGAAGAAGGCTTTTAATAAACAGGATATCTGTTTGCACAGAAATTGGTGCGGGGGGTGGGGGGGATTCAGATCTCATTTTATTTTTAGTTCCCAACATAAAATTGATTTTGAAATTTGTATTGGGGATGTAGTCTTTCCTTACCTCTCTCCTCTGCCCTCTAGTAGCAGCGTATGTTCATGCAATCTGTAATTCTATTGTTTTGGAGTTTTGGATTCTTGGGGGGGGGGAGGGTCCAGGGGAGGGTTGGCCTACTATAAACTTTTAAATCAACTTAATAAATACATTATACTGTGTGATAAAGTTCCATATTGTCATTTTATTTTAAGGTGGTGTATTAGCTTAAAGTAACTTTACCAAAACAATGTCATTGGGAAACTCCCAGAGAGAAATAATCTAAAGAATATTGAATGTATGTGGCAATCAAAAGGTGTAGAAAGAATAGAATATCATCTCGATCGCTTAATTCTAGGATACACATTACCATTGTCATGCTAAGTCCTACATCAATGACAGTATTTGCAGTTGGCTAAACTTGGCCAATAATTGTCACATCACACCTGTTGGTATCCTGTAAAATCTGCCTGGGAGAGTGTGACAGAGACATTGTTACTGTGAGTATCCTAAATCTACCATGTGAGAGTAATGCCTCAAGACTACGTAACAGTACTTAAGACACTGTACCAATTTAAAAGTCTCAGAAGAGTTATCGCCCTTAAATTGAAAAAATCTAAAAGCAGAATTTGCAACTTCTCTTGATATGAGCATCAACAATTCAACAAAGCAAATCAGAAAAAAAGGTTGTTACAAAGGACTCCAGAGTGTGTGCCAGCAGCAGGGAAATGCTGGTCATCTTTAAAACAAGACAAAAAAATTATAGCATCATTTTCTATGTCATATGGGACAACCAGAAATGTCAAATAAAAATATTGAATTGTGTCAAAATAAAGACAACTGATAATATACAGGGAAAAATATAACTATATTTATATCAATAGACATACAAGATGAGCATGATTTCGAAAAATAGAAAATAAACCCAGACACAACTCAATAGGATCTGGAGTAACACCTACAATTCTGAAAATTCCCATGTGCCAGCTGCCATATTGCCTAAGTAACAAACTCTGAGGGAAAGCTGTGTATGAGTTCATGGGAGCACAACTCTATCTTTCAGTGTGGTGGTTTGAATGTGCTTGGCCCAGGGAATGGCACTCTTAGGAGGTGTGGCCTTGTTGGAGTAGATGTGGCCTTGTTGGAAGAAGTGTGCCACTGTCATTGGGGTGAGCAATGAGACCCTCCTACTAACCTCATAGGAGCCACTCTGTTCCTTAGCTTCCTTTAGAAGATGTAGAACTCTCAGCTCCTCCTGTACCATACCTGCTTGGGTGCTGCTATGTTCCCACCTTGATGATACTGGACTGAACCTCTGAACATGTAAGCCAGCCCCAATTATGTTCTCCTTTATAATAGTTGCCTTGGTCATGGTGTTTGTTCACAGCAGTAAAACCCTAAGAAATACAGCTAAAATGATAACCCACATGCTGGCTTCAGAATATTTTGAAAAGCAGTATTCACAAAGAGTGCAATAGAGCATTGTGGTCAAGGCAGTGGTCCTTCATCTTTATCAGAACCATAACAAAATGTGGTGAGGTGGTAAACACATAGAAGCACTGTTCTGTTCTGAATGTTTTTTTCCTATTGGTTATCACAGTATTTAGTCTAAAAACCAGCAGACAGGCAAATGTGGAAGCATCTTCACTGGTATCTTCAGTTTCCTAGGCAGTGGGACCTTGGATCAGACCACAATACTAAATGAAATCAATGGCCAAGTATCAGTCAACGCAAATTTAAGGAAAATACATTTTTAAATATAATTTCTCACAGCAGTGACAAAAACATCCCTCCTGCTCATCATTAACATAGTACCACTCTTCACAGCCCTCCAGTTCTTCTGCACGGGGCCTTCTAGTCACTTCTGACTCACTGCTGTGGCAGAACAAACTTCCTAAGAGCAATACAAAGCAGGAAGAGACCAAGCCATTGACACAGACTTATTAAGTGTAGAGGAATTTTAACCCATCAACATGGCTGCTCTGGTAAGGGAACACATCCAAAGACCTTCTAGGTCTATGTGATCCACCTGGAATGATACACCTTTCCCAGTGGGTTGTCTCCATTGGCATTCATGTCCCCACTGACTTTTAAGGGGGGAATCTGGTTGCAGTAGCAGACACAGTATGACTGTAATTCCCATGTAGTGGAAGACAGGGTCCTTCACTTATGTTTCTGCTAAGCTTCAAAGACACAGCACCTGAGTGCTTATCAGGGAAGATGTTGTTTATAGATTCTTAGAGCTAAGAATAGGAATGAGAAATAAAAGGAGAAGGGGATGGGAAGGGAAGAGGAGGGGAAGAGAAGGAAGTAAATTATAAATGAGAGATAGTCTATGCATTAGAGGTATGAGTTATGGTAGAGAAATAAAGGTGTAGAAAAAGAAGAATATAAAATCTTGTTCAAGTGAGATACAACCAAAAATATTTTTAAAAATTAAACAACTAAGTGCAAAAGTGTAAATAAGTAAATGATAAAAATGAAAACAAGAAATACAGTGAAGCAGAATATACTTTGTCATTGGCTGGTATTATTCCTGGTGGGTCTGAATATGGTTTCTTCCACAATTCCCTTGATTGGTTTAGCATCCTGCTCTGCAGACTATAGAGGGCTGATGTCCTTCATAACTCATTGTATGGAACTCCACTTTCTGCAGGGGTTCCCTAGTCCGAGTCCCCCCAGTAGCCCCCAGTTGTAACATCGTTGCTGGGGTGTGATGAGCCAGAATCACATGTTCACAGTGTGATTTCACACTTGACTCTGCTGGTTCCCGAGGCTCCGACAGTGTGAGGTCCCCCCTCACCATCCCAGCTGGATAACAGCTGGTTTGTGTCTATTTTTCCTTTCTTCTTTTTCTTTATTGGCCTGCTCCAAATTTAGCACACTTCTTGAGTTCTCAAGCTGTTACCCACTGAGGCAATGGACCTGCAGGGGTCCATGGAGTGGCCGTCTACCTCCATTGGCAGCCCATCACCTGTCTCCACAGTACCAGGCCTGTTATTCTGTGGCACCTGTGTCCAGACCAGGAATGTACCTGTCTGGTAGCCACTGCTACTTACTTGTCAATCAGCAGTCACCCCTGCCTGCTTCTATGCAGAGGATTTCAAGTGTCTCCCCTCAGCTTCTTTCTTTTTCCTATAGCTTTTTCTGTCACATGAAAAGAGTCTTGTCTTTATATCCTGGCCCTTGTTCACCGGGTCACACAGAGGCGGCTTCTAATCCACCATCAATAGATATTTTTAAATAGCTGAAAGTATTATAAAGCAAACTCTTTAGAGTCTGTGTAACTATATATCCACTTGAGAGGAAAAAGGGAAACAGAATTAAAGAGCAAAATTAAATCACTTCTTAGATTGATTGTTCTTAAATCTTTGAATTTTTACATACATAACCTATTTCAGGATACTCAAAAGGGAAAGCTGAAAGGAAGAGAAAAGGGGAGAGAAGGAATGAAGAGGTGAGGAAAGAATCTTTAAGTACTCACAAAAAAAAATAAATCAATCCTATACTCCAGAACAAGTTTAACTCAGAATACAGAAATCTTAATGATTTGCAGCATCACTGGACACCTAACAGCCCCATTCCCAGACCCTGTGGCTGGAAGAGACTGAACAGAAGCCAGGGCCAGCACTACAGAACCTCAGGGCAGACTTATGTCCAGACTCTGAGATCTTCAACCTCAGCTTCATTCCCAGGGAGATGGGTAGACTGTAACACAGGTAATACTTCTTATACCCTCTGTTCATAGTGTCTCCTGGACTGAGCTCTTCTAGGCCAGGTCACATGGGCTCTCCAGCTTACACTCCTGAAGCAGAGCCAGTGTGGGACTGCCAACATGACTGAAGAGAACACCTCAGCAACCCTAGAAGGCAGCTTTCAGTGTCTTGTCACCCCTTGAGCAGCACAATACAGGAAAATGTAGTCTCTCTATAAAGAAATTGGGAAGAGTAAAGTCTGGGGCATGTCATCAGATGTGGAGCAGAAAAAGACCATTTTGCTTTTAAAAACTTACCACCTACATTCTAAAAAAGAGTCAATGTGCTGATCACAGAGTTTTACTGAGACAGTGGGATGGGCCTGTAGCAGAGACAGGCCAGATGTAGGAAGGGACAGAGAGTAAGTACCTCCTGCTGCACCCTTACCACCAGAGCAAATGGTGAAGGACTGGATGCACAAGAGCTCCCGCCCCTCACATCTTTTTACAAAACAGGAATAATGGAAAATAACATTTTTATTCTAGAGAAAACAAATGCATCTAATAAACTTTCTCAGAGAAATAAAGAGACATAGTGTTGTCATCCTGGTCATCTTCCACACAAAAATGGGCTGAATTGTTTTACGTGCTCGCACAAGCTCCAGCCTGTTACAGACATTCCCCAGCCCCCCACAAGAAAGGGAAACAATGGATTTTCAAAACCATCAGAGGCAATCATCAGTTGTAGAAAGAAAACAATCACACTTGACTTTCTGGAAATGCTAGTTTTAGAAGGAGTCCTTGAAAAATAAATCATAATCAATGTGGCACAAAATACAGAAGGATGGAACAAAAGATGAGAAGGCTTGAAGAACGTCGAAGGGTGTCCGTGGTTCCGTCCGTATATGGGTTGCAGTTGGTCTCTGCACTGAGGTAACATGAGGACAGCTTCACCTTGGAGTTGTAGCTTCTCACTGCCTGCCTCCCTGTTTAAAGAGGCAGACATCCAGGTTATGTCCCTTTTGCTGAGGAACAGTAAACTTTCTGAGCATAAGTGTATCATGAGGTGGTTATTCTTCACATGGTTTACTTTTTCTTTATCAGAAACAAATGCAGTGCTCAAAAGGGGGGCACAGATTGTAAACAAACGCCAAGAAACAATGTGTTCAGCCCAAGCCGTCCACATGCTGTTGGCCAGCATTAAAAGGCAGAAAACAGGCAGCAGCTGCAAACACTAATCTCTAACTGAAGCAGGGAGAATTTTAAATCTTGATTCATTTAGTCTTCTCAAGAGTTTATTTGGGGATGATATTTTCTACTCCACTAGAATTCCTGGGAAGAGTGTCTAACCTAGGCTTTACTAAGAGACTCTAAAGATGATGGGAAGTCATCTATGCCTGCTGATAGACAGAGACACACTATCCAACACTGCTCACCCCAGGGACAATTCATAGCACACTGATATTTTTAAACTGCATAAATAACCTATCACACTATAACAAACTCACAAAAACAGCTTTGTTTCAATGTTTTTAAAACACTAAATGCATACTAACTAATAACTACTCAATTTGAGGTATAATTTATAGTATTGATGCTATTTTAAAGACAATATAAGGTACATATCACATTATAAAAAGCTCGCTGTAAAACAAAACACTTCATTTTATAATTCTAATAAATTTTTTAAAATTTTTTCCTGTTGTTTTTTAAAAATTATTTTCAATATAACAAATGTATTTTCAGATATTTTAAAAAATTAGTAGGTCCAATTTTTATTATCTTTCTTAATTTCATTGTAAAATGGTTCCCTCATAAGCTGTTTTCTACAAAATATATATTTATATAGACATGTAAATATATAATACAATATATAATATGTAAAAATATTTGCTATATAATAGTATATACAATAATATATATATATAATACATATATACATATACCTTGAATCTTTTCATTTCTTAAATGTTTAAAACATTTTGTATGCACCTAAAGACCGAGTTGTGTAACTTTTGCAACTAGATTAAATAATACTTTGGATAGCAAGGGACTGTCATTAGGTCCCCACAGTATATCCCCTTCACCTCAGGAAAAAGGTCCTACACCTGTCTTTCAAATATCCCATGAAATCTTGGGGATAACCTCATCAACAGGAGCTGGAAGCAAAGGACAAGACGGGCTGGGGTTTGTCCCAGGAGAGAGAACTGCCTGGCACTGTCCCTTTATCTCGAATACTCTATCAAGCATTACCAAAACTGTGAACTGGTTCACCTTATTTCAAGTGAAATTACCTGTAATTACGTGATACACAGTTATGTTTCGCCTTCTCATGCATTCCAATGTCCCTAAAGTACTGCTAGTACTTATTCAGAATAGACTTTTAATATTCAAAACTGTAGGCACAATTACACACTCACACAGCTTCAGTCTGAGTTCAATTTTTCATAATTAATTTGGTAGCCTGCCAGGTCAGCTGACTCCTTTCATGGTCTAGATCATTTCTATTTTATAAAATAAGATGTTACTGTCAAATCAAAGATGCTCAAGCTATCATCCCAAGCACTCAGTTTCTCTTGACAGAAAAAAAAAAAAACCCAAACGTTATAATGAACAAGTTTTACCAAAACACTCGAGTTCCTGGTGAAGAACTAAACCCCGTGGTATTAGTCCACTCTTGAGGAATGCCCCCTTCACCTCAGGGGTCACATAGAGTGGGGGACTGGAAAGAAGCAAAACCTTAGAAACCAAAGATAACTAGACACTGTCGGTCTTTCTTGTGAAGTTTGTAATTATGGCATAACCTGTAAATATGCTCATAAATGCTATGAGCAGAATACTCCCTTTTAATATTCCTATACTAACTGATGCCATGTGAGCCTTATAAGTTGTCACTAGTCTTCATTTACAGACAGCCTGCCTCCTGCATCTCCTCCATCCACACTTTTTCCTCCCAACCAACTACCCCACAAAACTAATCCTGTGAGATGTCACTTTAAGGGAGTAAAACACCTGGCTTGATTCCCAAAGTCTCAGAAACCCCAGATCCACTTACTTGGTTCATAGTAATCCACTATAGATACTGAACCATCTCGAATATTTGAAACTTTGAAGTCTCTCACAGTGGGAATATTAACACAAAACTGGGTTTCATTTACCTAAAAAATAAAATAAAATATTTGAAGAAGTTGGCACATTGTGTCTTCATAAAAATATGAGTCATAAATTTTTCCTTCATTTTAGAAAATAAATAGAAACTAATATCTGGGGAGAATTTCTGAATGTCAAGTAGTGTAGTTAATAACTTACTATACGTTTATCTTATTTAAATTCCAAAACAACACTTAGAACATAGGGATGGTTCTTAGTCCACTTTTACTAAAAGGGATGCTTGAGATTTAGAATCATTTAGTAAACAGCTAGCCTGCTCTTGGGACCACCCAAATCTGTGTCTCCAGCAATGCATCTCAATTCTAGCTGCTGCTAATGATTCAGAGACTCTACAGAGTCCGTAGAAGCCTTCCAGAGAGACCCCAGTGAAGGGATCATGAGAAACTGACACCTATTTCTATAAATGACCATGATTTACTGCTGTGAAAATGTAAACTGGACCATCCACACTCTCTCCTCTCTCTCTCTCTCTCTCTCTCTCTCTCTCTCTCTCTCTCTCTCTCTCTCTTTCTCTCTCTTTCTCTCTCTCTTTGTGTAGTGTATGTATACATATGCATATATTATCTGTATACATACACAACACACATATATACATCCTACCCCATGACACAGATATACCATTCCTGAGTGTGTACTGAAAAGACCCCAACTCAATGACAACCTGCCCATTCATGTTTCTTCCTGCACTATTCATAACAGCAAAGAAATGGAACCAGCCTAGATGGCCATCAGCAGATGAATAATGAAGAAAATGTGTGGCATACATACACAACAGAAAGTCAATTTAGCCTTAAAGAAAACTGAATCACAGCATTTGCAGGAGAAGGGATGGAACTGGAAATTATTGTGTTAAACAAAGTCAGACCCAGAGTGATCAACAAACACCATATGCTTTCACTCATCTGAAGATACTAGATTTTAATTTTTACACATGTGTATGTACAGGAGGGGTGTAAGACACTAAACTAGGAAGGTGACCATGAAAAGGGGGAGCAAAAGACCCCAATGTGAGGAAAGGGTGATGGAATATATGTGAAATGAAAGCAGAAAGGGAGGCAACTGGGAGAGATAATAGCTAGAGTGAACAGGGGCATAGAGGAAGACAGTGGGGAAGGAAGATTTATAAAACCACATACAAATGATAGTGCCTTGATGAAGCCCATTGCCTTGTTTGTCCAATTATAAACATTAATCAAAAAAGAAAAACGATTTTAAATGAAACTGCTTATCAGGGCTGTGGAGAGGGCTCTGTGAAGTGTCTCTTACGCAAGCTAGAGGTCCTAAATCCAGATCTCTGGAATTCACATACAAAAGCCAAGCGTGACACCATGTTCCTACAATCTGGCACTCAGGAGGCGAGGACAGACAAATCCCTGGAGCTCGCTGACTGGCCAGCCTATGTGAACCATAAGCCCCAGGGTCACTGAGAGATCCTAACTCAGAGAATAAGGTGGAGAATGCTGGAGGAAGTCAGCCAGTGTCAATTTATAAATGCCACGTACACATGCACACCAAATGTACACACAAAAAAATTAGTTATCTTCCAAAGGATTGTATAATATTATACATATATTACATGCATATATGATATGTAGAATATATTATATGTATTATACATATGTTATATATTATGTATATGTATTATACATAGTGCACCAATAAACAATAACTAAGCTCTTTGTAAAAAGACCTTCCTCTGGCTCATCATTAACAGCCACTCTCATTAATTTTATAGCGATATCGTTTTTTAAACTTGTGAGTATATACGTGATGTGTGTATGTATGTGTGGTATATGTGTATTTGGTGGAGGTAGTGTACATTCGCCCATGCATAAGCCATAAAAGGGCACTAAGCATTCTATTCTATAAATCTCCACTTTATTCTTATGACCCAGGGTCTCCTGCTAAACCTGGAGCCAGGCTAACAGCCAGTAAGTCCCAGCGCTCCTCCTGTTTCCGCTCTCCACAACGATGGGGTGGTCATGCCCAGCTTTTTATATGGGTCCTGGAGACTGGAACTCAGGCCATCACACTACACAGAAAGAGCTCTTAACCACTGAGCCATCTCCTCAGCCCCAGTGATGTCTTTTAAAAGAGAAAAACATCTGGTTGCCATATCAAAATCATTCAGAGACAAAAAGCTGAAATAATGACCTAATACTTAACAGGTGGCAGGCTTCTAAACACAATACATAGAACCTTCACCAATAAAGGTTTATGAAACATCTTACTACTTACAGAATCTAAATAAAGGTTGAGTTTCCCATGATCATATTCCACTTTCTTCAGTGTCTCACTCAAAGGAATTGAATCTGAAGATGCAGTAAAGCCACTGAGAAGGTTCACCTCCATAAGGACCATGCCGGTCCTCTCTGAACCCAAATGACTGCATCAAAGAAAGACACAAGGAGAAAAAAAAAAACTTTAGGAAAAACTTCAACACGTGATCTTTATGTAAAACTTAACACTATCAAATATTACTTTAAGCTGTGTTCAAGCACAAGTAAAATTCACTATAGGAACATTTAGAACACATTTTTCTTATAGCAGTGGTAGTTTTATAGCTTGTGGTGACACGTGGAATGAGAGCTAACCATGGTTTCTTGAATAGGATGAAGTGCCTGCAATGAGGTAGGGTTACTGGTCGTAGCAGGTACAGTGCATAACCATTCAATGGATTCTAGCAGTGCTTTGTATTGGTTCTAAACTAAATATTTCTCAAAACATTGGCATTCTCTCAAAAGTTGGCAGTACCAACCTAGGCAGCTTAAACCAACAGATGGAGAGAGGTATCACTTGGCCACTCAGTGTAGATCCCAGCCTAAGACACAGAGGATACTCACCTACTATATGATGAATGAATCAATGAATCAGTCAATGAATCAAAGTGAAAAGCAGGGATGGAATTACTGACTGACCAGAATTATTCTAGTAATGCCTAAATGAGCTGCATATAAAGAATTTGTTTAATGTCTGACGTACAGGTTTGTGACACATATAGGTTCCTCCTGCTAATAGTAAAAAAATAATTATATCTTGATGTTTTTATTCTTTAATAGAGACCAGTTCCAAGTTAAGTAAAGAATAACGGAAGTCTTGATTCCTTTCCAGCTGAGAAGGAAGGTGCTGCAGAAATCCAAATAGTCCCAACTGCTGGTCAGAATGGTCAAGAAGTGGTAGGGGGAGGGGGAAAACACATGGGATGTTTCATCTCAGTCAAATGACAAGATCCAAAGATACAGCAGATGGTAGTAAATGATGGGGAAACTTGGTTCAGGCAATGGCTAAGAAAACCGAGTACCTCGGTTAACACCCAGAGGTGACCTTCACAGAGCACCAGTGGCTTCCAGCCCAACAGCAAGCTGAGTTCAATCACAGTGCCTTGAGCATCCCAGATGCCAGTGTGTTTGACAGTTACTTCTTTCCCAACACCAAGCAATGCTGGGGTAAAAGACAGACTGACAGGAAAACTTGTGAAGTCTCTTGATTCAAAAACTTTCTCCTGGTTGTTCTCAACATCATGTGCACAAGAACAAGCAAGAAGCTGGAGAAGACAGCTTCACAACTCTACTGGGACATAAGTATGCCTGCAGAAATGAGATTCTCAAGTGCTTTGGATACAGACCAATTGAAGAGCCACTTCTGGAAGCTTCAGTTATCAGCACACAATTGACTCAAGACCAGAATCTTCTAAAGTGGAGTCTTTTCAGTATCCAAAATAACTATTCTTTTTGCTAGGTTTGTATGCTGTTACAAATTTTGGACCAAAAGTTAAAGGTAAATCTGAAGCCAAAATGAAATTATTTCAACTGAGAATAACCATGTGTAGCATTAAATAAGATTCAATATTTTACAGTTTTCCTAAATTAGACTTAAGTTTATTAACTTATATTTTTATCACTACCCACCCTAGGATTCTGACTAGCTTTATAGCATTTGGTGAGTATTCTCTAACTTGGGGTGGGCCTCAAATACAATCATAAAGTGTCTAATTATCCTCCAAATACTTGGGTCATTATCACATCTGTGGGCACATCTTGCCTGATGGATTAGAATTGTAATACACAGGATCGACAGCAGGGGAAGATCACTGGCGAGTGTTCTACCCCCACACCCTACATAGCACCTTCCCACAGAATAAACACTAGCCAGAAAAGAGAGAGCTTCCAGCTCAGTCCACCTCAATTTCTCTATATCCTGTAACCAGAATGTGTGATGCCTTCATCAGATGGTCTTACCATCTGGTTCTGATAAGCAACCAAGAACAATGGCAATAGCCTGCCTATTGTTGGGGTCCTCTGAGATCTCTCCAGTCAACTCTAGGAGGGTATTCCACAACTGGTGCTGGGGTTCTCATTTGAAAGTTTATGACTAAATGGCTCAGTTGGTAAAAATGTTTGCCACACAAGCTTTATAACTGGAGTTCAAGCCATAGAACCTAAGGTATAAGGGAAGAATCAACTCCAGAAAGTTGTTCTCTGATTTCCTTATGTATACCATGCTCCATGTGTGCTCTCGCAGAGACATATCATAAACCCAGCAAGAATCAACAAACAATAACACTTTAGGGACTGGAGAGATAGCTAGGTTGTTGAGAGTGCTGGCTGTTCTTCTGGAGGACCTGGGTTCAATTCCCAGGACATATAAAGTAGCTCACAACTGTCTGTAACTCCTACCCCAGGGGACCTCATAGTCTCTTCTGGCCTCCAGGAGCATTAGGTATATACATGCAGTATACAGACAAATATACATGCAGGCAAAACACTCATACACATAAAAATAAATAAAATTTAAAATAATAAAGTGTCACACCCAGAATAGTTTGTACCCAGAACCCTGACTAAGGACAACAAAGGACTAAAGAAAGGGCAAACACAAAGACAGAAAAGCTGGGGTCAGGTGGGCTGAGCTTGCACTGAGGGAGCAGAATCAACACTGTAGCCAGGAGTGTCAGTACTTGTATTATATGTGGCAAAGGGGTATGGCTTAGCTCATCACAGCAGAAGGCTGCAGTCATCCTGAAGGAGAAAGCTGCTGTAGTTCGTGTTTGCATATACTGCCAACATTTATACTTAGAACAGCAGAGGTTTTGCCAATTCTATGGGTTAAGAGGCATGGGGTCATGGATGTGGCAACCTCCATGTCAACAGCGTGTTCACTCTCAGGGCTTTCTCAGATTCCCTCAATAAAATAAAATACTTTTAAAGAATTTATTTACTTCTATCCAAACTTGTTATAAATACAAAGAAAACATGTGAACATTTTTAGCCTACCTAAGAAGAAATTAAACATAATTACCTGTGCTTCTAGTCTGAAATCTGTGGAGCAGTGATAGGAGAAATCTCTTAATAGGGATTCTTACAATGGTCCCACTGGATAACCATACAAATTAAACCTTAAACCTACTTCTTAAGGAGCTGCTAGTGGCTACCTACCTTGTGCACACATTCAGATTCAGGTGACTGATGTCATCCTCATCATTCACATAGACATCCAAATCAAAAACTTCCTGATTTTCGGTAGATCTCCGATTTTTAGAAGATACCGAACCTTTCACATTATAATCAACATTTAGCTGCAATAAAATTTTTTAAAATTAGCTTAAGTGAAATAATGAACATCACAGCCACCCTTTTATTAAACCACCAAGACTTCTGACTACATCCTTAGTATTTATCCTTACGCCCAGAGATGAGTGGGGCTCTCATCCCTCGTTAAAAACACTAATTTTGAAACTTAGCATATGTGACAAAGTAAGAGTAGTAAGCTGTTTGCAATAGTCTAAATAATAGCTAATAATTCTTTTGTAATAAACCAATTAAAATTATGGTTTTCAAACTGTTTTTAAAATGCCAGCTAAGAAAGAAAGCATTCTTATCCAATGCTTTTGTAAATGTTTGTCATTTTTATTGGGAAAATTATTAGGTAATACAGCAAAGGAAATGTCAGAACACTAGGAATAATGTTTGTGGATTGTTTTCTCAAGGAATATAAAGCATTCCTTTTAGGTTAAAAAAAGGGGGGAAGCCACAGACAACCTTCTTGAAAGCATTGACTGATATGTAATTAATTTACTAATTTCTACTCAAACGGAACCCCAGAACTCCCGGTAAGACAAGTCAAATTCACATACCACCTCTTCAACTGTTGAAGATAATTTTTCATCATAAACCATTTTTCAAAGATGGTAAAGTAAATGACAGATTTCAGGTCAACTGAGTCTTTTTCAGCACATCTTCTATACCTCTCTGTGACGTGTGTGCTGTGGGAGCACCGGAGCAGTGTGGGGACCAGTATCTTTCTCGAGTCACCCTAAGTCAGAAGCTTAGGAATGTGCTCAAATTTTCCTAGGCTGTCTCATCCCAAACAGAATGAAACTTTTTAAATATTTAATGCAACCGAGTTCATAGAACTTAATACTGAATTTCCCTTTAATTCTACTTGAAATACATACATAACCTATGCACACCTCAGAAGCAAACATCTGGTACCTTTCTTGGATTTAAACACTTTAAAATATCTGTTGCTAAGCCTCCTCTCCTCAAGTCTGAGTCCTAATTTTTCTGTTTTGCCACAATCCAAGTTCATTCACTTGCTCCTTCTGGGTGTGCTACTCTGGACATTTTCCAAGTATTTTTTTTCAAACTACAACAATCAATTACTAAGTATAATATTAACTAAGATTATTCCTGGAGCCATTGGAGAGCAGTTTTCTAGCATCCAAAAGCTGTTATCTTCAACATCTGCCTTTCTCTGCATGAAGCTGTCCCTTTAGAGACCAGTGTCATCAAGCAAGATGACTAGGCTTGTCACTGGAGCAATGACTAACATCTATCTATAAGGATTGGGGTTGACAGTTTGGCTGACAGTAAAGCTCGACTATCCACTCACAGAACTTCAAGAGAACACACTCATCATTGCTTAGACTTTTCATACCCAGTAGGTAAACATTTACTTGTATAAGAGCTCTCTTTGTGCTCTTTCCAGAGATCTTATAAAGATAGTCACAAAGGAATCTCAATTCTCATTTCTGGGTGATTGATATTTTTACACTTTTCCCTCTTTTGAGAGAAATGCTTATGAGTCCCTTTCTCCTGTCTTCTGAATTTTGATACGGACCTCAACTAGTGACTAATCTGACCAAAGGGTCTGCGTTTCCCAGTGTCCTTCAAACCGCCAACAATCACTGAGCTTCAATGATTTATCTATATGTCACTGATCAACATTAGCTCCCAGCTAGTGCAGTGTTTCCAACAAATGTGGTGACTTAAGAAGACTAAATTTCCACTTTTGTCTCAAACGTGCTGCATAGTTATTCTTGGACTTATGTTTTGCATCAATCAGCAGTCTTGGGAATAAGAGTTTCCCATGGTTCTTCATATAGAACCACATAAATTATTCCCTATTTTTCTTTTATTCTCACTGAAAAACGTTTCATTTCACTATAATTATTTTTCCTTGTCTTTTTTTTTTAAATGCTTTCTGGGTCTTGACTATCATGCAAAATAATCTTAGAGAGCCAGATTGGAGGATCAGCCAATAAAAGTGCTTGCCATGCAAACCTGACCACCTGAACTCTTTCTCTGAAACTCACAATGAAAGGAGAAAGCAGACCTCCACGCGTGCACAGAGATATGTGTGCACCAACATGTACATACACACGCGCACGCATGTGCCAAAAATACGTAAATAATGCCTTCCAAACATCTTAAGAATTGTTTGGCAGTTTCCAAATTATATCTGTTTGACAAAGAGTGTCTTCCCCGTTAAGCAATAATCATGCCTGTGCCGATTAACTTGTTTCAGTTTGGCACAAATGTAGATATTTGAAAAGAGGGGGTGTCAGCTGGGGAACTGCGTCTTCAGGTTACACTGGCCAGTGGCCACATCTGAGGAGCATTATTTTATTAATGATTGGCATGAGAGGGCCCAGCTAACTTGGGCAAGTGGTCTTAGGTTGTATAAAAAAAGCAAGCTGAGGCAGCCAAGGAGAAAGCCAGTAAGCACAAGTCTTCCATGGCTCTGCTTCAGTTCCTGCCTCTGTGTTCCTGTTCTGGCTTTCCTCATTGGTGGTCTGTAACTGGGATGTGTAAGTCAAATAAACCCCTGCCTTCCCAAGTTGCTTTTGGCCAGAGTGTTTTATCACAGCAACATAAAGCCAATGAAGATGCTCTTCTCTCAGTAAAAATAATTGTAAAAGTATTTTTAAAAAGTCTTTTTTGTTGAACTATTTTGGAAAGGGGAGCAAACTGGGAGAAACAGTGGCTAGGGCAAATGTGGGTAACTAAGGGCATGAATGTGATCAAATTGTGTGTATGTGTGCGTGCATGCACACTCGTGTGTGGTGTATGTGTGTGTAGTGTGTGTGTGTGTGGTGTGTGTGTGTGTGTGTGTGTGTGTGTGTGTAGTCTTACACACAGAGGCCAGAGGTGCAGGATCCCTCTAGAACTGGAGTTATAGGTAACGGTGAGCCACCTGACATGGGTGCTGGGAACTAGTCCTTTGGAAGAACAGCATTTTCCCTTAACCACCAAACTGTCTCTACAGCCCTCAACACCATAATTTTTAAACTGTATTTTCAAATACAACAAAAATGTAGATACCAGGCAAGGTGACACATGTCTGAAATCCCAACACCTTGGAGACTGAGGCAGGAGAATCACAAGTTTGAGACCAGCCTGAGCTACAATTTGAGCACACAGCTAGCTGTATCTACATAGCAAGACCGTGTCTCAAGAAAGGGGGTTTCCCAACTATTCACATAACTCACACTGGAGGAATTCAACATTAATTTCGAAAAGCCAGCAATCTCTAAGAGATGTTTTCAAGTAGATTGCCAATAGAAATAGTCTATTCTCTAGTTAGTAATATCTCTAATTACCCTTATTAAATAAACAAATCTTGACTAAGTTACAGGAGTAAATCATTGAAATCTGTATTTTATCTTTATAATATTTTCATTAATTTAGTGAGAGGGGTTGTGCACACCATGGTATATGTGTGTAGGTCAAAGGGCAACATGAGGGAGTAGGTTTTCTTTCTTTATTTTCCTTATGTGGGTCCCAGGGATCAAACTCAGGCTTGGCAACAGGCACCTTTACCCCAGGAGGCATCTTGCCAGCCCTCATTAAAAGTCCCACACAAGCCGGGCGGTGGTGGCCCACGCCTGTAATCCCAGCACTTGGGAGGCAGAGGCAGGTGGATTTCTGAGTTCGAGAGTTCGAGGCTAGCCTGGTCTACAGAGTGAGTTCCAGGACAGCCAGGGCTACACAGAGAAACCCTGTCTCGAAAAACCAAAAAAAAAAAAAAAAAAAGTCTCACACAAGCTGTCTAAGTTAAAGGTTTAGCAAAGGATTGTTAACAAAAGTCATACTAAGCCACAAAAATAGACAATCACTTATACATACCTGGCAAATAGCAAATCCCAAACCTTGTGCAGAAACATTAACTGTAATGGGATCTAATGCAGCAAGCTAAAGGTGAAACAAAGATAAGGGTGAGAGAGAAAAAGTGAGGGAGTCGAATTTTCCACAGACAGATCATTCCCAGTCGAACAAGAGTTCTGTGCTGTATCCTACACTAGAAGCAGAGGTAGTCCTGGGGAATGCTGGGAGCTCTGCATGGTCTCAGCTATCAAAGGCTCTGCAAGAACCAGGTAACCTGGGCAAAGTGCTCTCCAAACCTGCCGAGCTCCTTCACCCCACGCCTTTGGGAAGGCACAATCTGTGCTCCTGACCAGACTGCCCTCCTGCTGGAGCTAAAGCATGTCTTCCCTGACCTCCCTTCACCAGAGCCAACCATGGACACAACGGTACACAATCACTATGCCTGGCTATAGCCTTCTTTTCCTGTGCCATGACTCTTTCTTCAGTTAGCTTCTAGCATAATCTTTTATTTTATCTTAAAGTAAGAATGGCTGTACAGGCTTCTAATCTCAGCATTTTGGTGGTAGGGGCTAAAGAATTATGAGATCAAGGCCATCCTGGACTACATAGTGACTTCTATGCTACCAGAGAAAAACATAATTGTGATGATGATGATGACAACGACAGTGGTGGCACATGCCTTTAATCCTAGCACTCAGGAGGCAGAGACAGGTGAATCTCTGTGATTCAAAGCTACACAGAGAAATCCTGCCTTGAAAAGCCAATTAATTACTTAATTAGTTAATCAATTAACTAATTAATTAACATATAACAATAATCCTACTACCAATCCTCACTGCTTCTAAGAGAATAAGAGATATAGCTGAAAAGAATAAGTATATGAGCTAATAGGTTTAAATTCCAGCTCTGCCATCCTACACATGGCTTCTCTGCCAGTTTTCTCCTGTGTCAAATTGTGGACAGCATGCTTGGCCCGAGGCATAACTGTGGGGGCACCTCTATTCTAACCTAGCACAGTGTCCATGCAAAGCTGAGACTCAGTAGGTATCACTCCTGCCCACTAGGAACATGTCCATATCTTCTCTTCTACCCATCTTTCTTTCCCTCAAAGGTCCACTCTGCCTTAGTTCAGAAAATCCAGCCAAAAGCAGGACAGCCTGTCTCAATCTTTCTATGAAGCTCCAGGAAGAACTCTCTGTTGAAGTGTATTAAAATTAACTTTAAAAAAATTAAAGCAGTATTCCAAAATAAAGAACCATCTATGAAGGGTTTTAAATGACCACCCCCATCTGCACCTCTTCCTGGTGAAGGAGAAAGAGATTCTGTGAGTCAATCCCGAAGTGTATGGGTCTCGGTACGCTGGGCCCTGTGACGGTCAGATGGATATCTGTATTTTCCTTGTACACAAGGGCTGAAAATTCAGATAGTGCCTTCAAGGCCACAACAGTATCCTGTTGAGAAAAGAAAAACAGTTGTGCATTTTTTTTAAGTATCCAGCAATCTCCAAAGAAAACATTCAGCAATGTTTGGGAACCTGCTGGGTGGTTTTTCACCCTTAAGAGAAGACTGCTTTTTCAGTCGTCTATGGGTCTCTTGCTGGGAATATGCAAGAGGCTCAACAAACTACTACAACATAGACCTGAGCAACATGCTTAGATCAGTTACCACAGACACAAAATAGCTACTAAAGATGAGGATCCGATATATTCTTTGCATACCAGATATGAAGCTCAAATAAGAAAAGCATTAAAATTACCGTCTTAAACCCTTCATCTAATGTACAGAACTTGTAATCTAAGCTGTTTTATGACTATATGAAAAGCAGCTATGCTCTTCATAGATATTAGAAATTATCTGTTTTTCCAGAAGAAAAACATCTATCATTTCTCACCTGAGTGGATACGAAACCTCCCAGACTATTTCTTTGCCTGATGAGCCACCTCATAATTGGGATTCCCTCAGAAACACGGTGCAGCGTGTGCGCGAGCAGTGCATAAGCGGCAATTTCAATGTCCACGGAGCGTGCCTGCCAAGACCCAAAGAGCGTGGGTCCTGATGACAACCAGAACTGTGTGTCTCCTGCGAGAAAAATAAACCATACTGAGCAAATGCCAAAGAGTGTACGTCTTATACCACAAAATATTTCTGTATGAGTTCAAGCTCTATTTGGCTAGCAAAAGAGCAGATGTTACACATATGTGTGTGTGTGTGTGTGTGTGTGTGTACATATATATGTATATATATGCCTATATAAGCACACATAAACATGTTACATTTTAAACTATTACAGTGTATAAATTTTCATCCTTTCTTTGTTGCCTGCATTTGAGAATGTTTTGATTAAAACATTCTCCCAAGGAAAACACCATATGTTTGGAGCAAGACTAAACAGTTATAAATAAAAAGGGGAAACACACATACACACTATATATATAATTTTTCTTCCACAAATAATTTCAGGCACTTGGGAAAGAATCCTGTTCCAGGAATCTATCAGTAACCAGCTCTCATGTTCTGTGAGACCTCTCCCCTTTTCTGTCTTCTTCCTCAAAGCTTATGGTGTAAATTCAAAATCCAAGCCCCAAGAACAACGGAGCAAGCCCAGCCAGGTCAACAGCCTTCCTAAGATAATCCTGCTCTAGCCTGCTCGACATCCTGCATGAAGGCCTCTGCTTGCTCGAATCTACAAGACAGTGATTACACCACGGTGGAATGAGAGACAGGAATCACAGCCCAGCCCAGAACAAACGTCAGGTGCACATCAGTGTCTGTGCAGAGCATCCACTCCACAACCCTGGGACAAGCAATGAGGACTGGACCTAAATTATTAACCTTGCTGTCTGTCTCTACAGTCTTTTCTGGGAATTATTCTCTCTCTCTCTCTCTCTCTCTCTCTCTCTCTCTCTCTCTCTCTCTCTCTCTCTCCCCGGGTGTGTGTGTGTGTGTGTGTGTGTGTGTGTGTGTGTGTG